AATCGGATTTCCAGATTTTTGATTTTGTTGTTGGAAATTTGTAAAAAAAGAAATATCTTATTAGATGATTAGCTGGTTGATCTGTCAGAATATATTCTAATTCATGAATCCGACTACGTGGAAAATAATACTGGATAACCAGAACGAGCAATCCGACAATCGGATCTCGTCGGATCCTATCGGAAAAATTAACGAATTTTATCGAATCCGATGGCAATTCGTCGGAATCCTTGGTATCGGATTCCGACAGGAAGTTGTCGGATGTCGGAAAGTGTCGGAAGTGGCCGGGATCTTGTCGGAACTCTGAAAATCCGACACTTTCCAACATCCGACAACTTCCGACTAATTTCCATCGGATCCGATGGTGTGAGATCGGCCTGGGTATTCTGCATTCTTATATAATCCGACAAGTTCCGATACCAGTGATTGATCGGTTTTATCATGGAATCCGGTGTCACTTGAAACCGCAAAATCCGGCGATTTCTTGACATCAGATTCCCCGGAATCCCATCGGAAGCGAACAGATCTTGAGATCGGATCTGACCAGTTCCGAATATATGAATCTAGTCGGAGCTCGATGAATCCGACCGGCAGATATCAAAGGAAAACAGTGGATAGCATCGGAATCCGACAAAAAGTAACCGACCGAATCCGATTAGCCGTATCTCAACGGATTTGAAACCTATCCGACAGGATCCGACATAGCTATTTCGACCTGGGCACCGACTATTCTATAGTGTACTCACTGTTTGAGTACACAAAAGTATGATTCGGTTCAAAACTAATATCAGATTCAGAATCAGCGTTAAAAACTGAGTCGATTTATGTATTTTGTGAATAATTATGAGCAAAAACTGTTTTTTTGAAAAATCCCCGTACCCCCCCCTCTCAGGGATGGTCTGGTCAAAAATCACAATTTTTTCGATAACTCAGCCATTTCTTGACGGATCCTTCTCATCTTCGAACTCGACCGAGATATTCTAAAGACTGAACTGTGTAAAAACTTTCATCGCGATCTGACTCTCCTTTCGAAAGTTATCGTGTATACGGCCGGACGGACGGATACACTGACCGATTCTAGTAGTGTACTCACTTTTTGAGTACACTAACAAGTTGATACTGTCGTTGCTGATGTCACGAGTGGAGTTGAAGTAAAACCATTTTCTACAAGAATTGCTGATGATAATGAAAAACAAGTCCATGAGTCTTCTAGTGATGATAGTGAATCATCAACTGATGATGAATGAAATTGCATTACCCGTTTTTAGGAGAAAGAAAAAATTTATTAAAAAATCTGTATCATCAAAAAATGATTCATTACCTTGTCAAATGAAAATAACAGTTGATCAAATTCCTCTTCTAGCAAAACATGTTATTGATGTTTTAAACAAGTGTAAGAAGATAGTGAAGTATGTAAAAAAAGTAGGCATGTTTCCGAAAAATATTTTACGTTTTTTTATGCCACTATATTATGTTTTTTGAATTTTTAGGTAGGGATCAATATTTGTATTAAAGAAGAAGCTGGCGTTACTTTACATCAATCGTGTATCGTTAGGTGGTTATCGATGATAAATTTGTTGGAAAGTGTTCTACAAACATTCAAAACAACAAAAAGATTATTATTAGCTAGAAACAAGCAATCATTAATTCATGATTTGGATGTATTAACAATAAAACAACTTGTACTTGTTTTGAAGCCAGTAAAACATGTTGTGACAGTTGTTCAAACAGGCAATTCACCATCTTTGCACTTGGTTTTATTATGTAATTTAACGCTGAAGCGTGCTTTATCGTCTTATGAATCATTACTTGATTATGTAAATACTTACTGCAATCAAAATGATAAACCATCAAATAAATGGGAACATGAAGAAAATGAAAATTATGAATCAGAAGGTTAGTATAAGATTTAGGATAAAAAAATTCGTCGAAAGAGACGTAGAATTTATTGTAAAGTTGATGTCAGTGACTTTTACATTGTATTGTTTAGGGGCTCGTTCTTATTAGATCTTTCTCCTTATAGTAATATTTCACTCATATTATGTTACAACTGGCGTTGAATAATTTTCTTTTATCACCCTTTTCCTATTTTATGCCTTAAAGAGCCAATTTAACTTGAATTCATTTTTGTTTCAGGGATCAAATGGTTTCGTGAACGATTATTACTTTTAATCGACGAGCTATTCAATCTTGATGTTCGTCATTACTGTGCAACTATGTTACACCCGAAATATAAATTATTAAAAAGTTGTACAATAGAAGAACGTTCTCAATGTCATCAATATATTCGTAGGCAACTAAATATTTTACATGATACAAATTTACGACACAAATCACATGAACCATCACCTGAACCACAACAAAAAAAAATTAAAATCAGCTGATGCATTATTTACGTATTTTGAAGATGATCAACCGCCTAATACTTCAACAGGTGATGGTGAAGATTACGAATATGACAGTGATGAATATGGGTCGAACACAAATCAGTTTGATGAATTAGATCAATATTTAATTATGAAAATCGATAAATCACTCATAACATATAATCCCTTGGATTTTTGGCGGTACCATGCAAAACAATTTCCTTTATTAAGTAAATTAGCAAAACGGATTTATTCAATATCTGCTACATCATGTAATGTTGAACATCAATTTTCAAGTGCAGGCTTAGTAATTAATCAGGGAAGAACAAATATTAATCCAGAACACATAGACAATATTCTTTTAATTAGGTCATTCAAAAAGCTTTAGTAGCTTTTCTTGCTCTTATAGGCAGTTTTTTTTCTTCTTATATATTGTTCGTTTTTTTGTATGTACATTTTCTGTTGCTGTCAGCCACAGATCTCTTTCTTACGATGCATATGCAATTCTGTTATAGTCTATACTTTTCGGATGCAATGTACACATTATTTTGTTTAATATAAAAACTTTATTTTGACAGTGATCTTTCGTGATAACTTCATTTCTTGATTATGACTTTTGTCTTTTTTGCTCGTGTTTAGTTATACATTTAAAACATACAGATAAATTGTATCATTTGATTCATAATATGTAAATAAAATGTGAAAACACTATTTGAAAATAGTAATAAAATTTTTCATACTGTTTTCAATTTTTATCAATCAAGATAATTTTTGAAGCCCTGTCTTGCCCTGTCCTGCCCTGAGGGCAGAGCAGGGCAAAAAAAATTGATACATTATTTTCAGGGCAGGACAGGGCAGAGTATAAAAATGTGCTCCATGACGCTCTCTGGTATCCAAATTGTTTTTTTAGTATTCTATATATATTGTCCTTATTCATTCTTTCCTTTACTACATATCACTGTCTTATAATATGTTATGCCCTTAATAATGATAACAAAGTTGTTGAAAAATCGATCTATTAAAATGATGAATAGAAAAACGAAATAAAAGCTGTAATGATAGATATGTGAATGCTGATTTTGTTCTAATTTATACTATGCATGTTGCAATACAAAATTTATTCATCACCTATTAAGTATGAAGGCAAATCTATTCAAAATTACTTCAATCGATTGATCAAAAAATACAGGTAATAATAAACATGGTAAATTATTCATAATAGCAAATAACAAGCAGAAATAGCTGTTTATTCTTTTCAACATGTACAATGTACAACAAAAAGAATATGCTTTATTGCTATTTCGTTTTATGAGTTACCTTGTTGATTTTTTCATTGTATCATAGCACAATAAAAAACAAGCCTATCATATTAGATGTTATTTTTATCCGGTTTTAAATAATTAGTTTTTTTTTATTCTATACATTCTTTTATGTAGAAAAAATATATGATCATACATTCATCAATGTTTTGAAAGCAATTGTATAAATATTGAGATACTCTATCGAAGCAGATTAGTCTCAATCATGTATACTAAACGTCTACTTAACATTGTTATAAGTTTTATTTTGGTTTTGGTCTTCACCAACAACATCGTACAAAGTAAAAGTTTATATTTCAGCCTCCGAGACAGAAAAACAGATGGTGACAAAATACGCGAGGTTGTCGGCAACATTCTTCATCGTATGCCACCTGATTATGTTCGGAGAATAAAAGAAGCAATGGAAAAATGTGCCAAAAGCGGTCGCATTGATTTGATGAGGAAACTTACCTTGAAAAGCATGGCTATTATTGCTGCCATGAATAATAATGAGCCTATACCAAGCAAGAGACTGTTAGCGAATTATCTCAGGTATGATGATGATTTTGATTTTGATTTTGATACACGTGGTAAGAATAGTGGCAAGAAGCCGATTCTGGGCTACCGCAACACATTCTTTAACACACTATCATCAGATGAACTTGCAAGTTATAGAAAAAGTTTTGAACAATTTGAGACAGCTTCATTAGACAAACACCTAGATTATATGGATCGTATGATTGATTATCATAACAGATGTGCTGCTGGTATTGACTTTCAAGTACGACGCAATTTCGAAGAGTATTTTGACGAGGAAGAATAATCAAGCAAAAATTATCAAGCATTGAACTATAATATACTTTTTTTTTGTTTTTTGAATTCAGTTTTTAGTTAGAAATATATTTCATTACATTACTTTATATTCAGTTTTTTTTTATTTTTCTTCAATAAACTATAATAAAAACTATCCACCTACGTACTCTTATTGGACTCAATGAAAAAATACATATGATTATTAGTTTGTTTATCAATACGAACCAGTGATATAGGAAATGCTATTGGTATCAACTTGAGATATGTCAAAAATGAGATTGTTTCATTATAAAAAGGTCGAAGTGTAATAAATCTACTACATGTGTGTGAAAAGAAATGTGGTTTCTCTCTTTCATTGATACCTAATTAAATTCTTTAAAACCATATCCATTGTTTAGACTTTTTTTCATTAGCTAAAAATATGTTAAATATTGTAATCACTCAAACTATTATCTTTCAGTTCTTATTTACAAAGAATGTACAATTTATTATATCAAACATATACACAACTTTAACGAGGCATAGTCATAATTTTCATTAGTGAATGAAATTCTCTTTTAATTGGTATATTGAATTTTTCAACTATCCATTTTTCATGTTGTTCCTATAAATTCTAAGATTAAAAATAAGACAAATGTTAATATTGATTCAAATCACTTTTTTGAATTCACTCAGTAAATGACACTATGAAATAAGATATATAAATATTCTAAACTCGTCGAAATAATGTCAAGTTTTTTCGGATTAAAAAATTATCAATACATTCATTATTTTTTATATTTGGTCTATTGTTGTGTGTATACTAATATTACATCGCATGGTTTATTTAACAAGTTGTTTATCAGATTCGTATGTATTAGTGGTGATTCATCACTATCCTCCCTTAATATGTTTCTATCTCTTTTCTTTCTGTCTTTCTTTTTACACTGTTATTATTATTGTTATTTCTTTTCTTCTTTTCTTCTCTATTCTCTTTTCTATTGTGGGTTTAATAAGTATTATTTTTAAACAGATTAATCTATATTTTTTTGAAGAATATAAATTAATCTGCTGCTTTCAATTTTTGCTTTTCAGCAACCGATCTAGTCGTTTGAATAATTTATTTAAAATAGAATTTGCTTGATTGAAATTGATTTATTAAAAATTATGCAGTTTAATTTTTGTTTTTACGCCGACGCGTTTCATGTTTACTATATTAAAATATTAAAACACTCTTCAGGGCACTGCATAACGATTTCAAGCACATAAGGAAAAAGTTTATAAAAAATCTATGAGGAACGAGAAAAAAGGCAAAAAGGAAAAAGGAAGGAATGAAATTTGAAATAATAATGAAAGATGTAGAAGTGATAGTTATAGAGTAAAGCTAATAATAAGAAGAAAATATTGACTTTTATTAAAACTTTTGAAAAAAAATTTTTAAAACTTTGAAAAATTTTTTTTGTATTATTTTTAGATAGAGAAATTAGAAACTGAAAGGAAAGTTGAAGCAACAGTTTTTTTAAATTATTATATTATATATTATTCATTTGAATTTTATGTTAAACTTTGTTTTATTTTAATTTAATCAGCATGTTTTATTGCATTTTACTTTGAATTTATTCGAGTTTATTTTATTTTAATCGGCCGGTTTCATTAAAGAAATTACTTAATCTATTCTCATATAGTTATGACCTGGTGATTCATATTAATTTTGTAGTGGACTTTCGTTATTGTGCGGCTAGCGATATTTTGCTGATAATTTTTCCAGTTGGTGCTAACTTTTCATCCAATGGGCATATGTTCCGAAATTGTTTTGTGTCTTCAGACATTTCTAATCTTATCATTTATTTTTTATTTTTAGAATCTTCATTAACAATTTGAATGTTTTTGGGAAATAATTATATTCAACGAAACATTTCTTCTTTTTAATAAATGTCATATGTCATTTTGATTTTATTCAATAATATTATGTTCCAAATTTAAGTATGATCTTTCAAATAAAATAGAATAAAGTTTTTGAGATTTTTTCAATTTTTTGCTTTAAATTTTTCTTTCTACTACATGATTGAACTATCTTAATCATAATTCAATAATTTAATTTAACTTTACATTATAGATTGTAGTCCAGCTTGCTAGCAGAATTTGTTTTTATTCTGCAAAGCTGTGATATTATAATGTTATTTCGATTAATAATATTGCAATTAGGGATATTGTTAGTTTTGGTCCATTTATGTCTGGATTAAAAGTTATAAGGTTATACTACTGTGTTGCAAATTTATCTACCGAATGATATTTCAATTAGTTATTATATTGTTTTTTAATTTATCTGTAACTGTTAATTTCAAAATTGCTCTTTGTATTGTAATGCATTTAATAAACTTTTTAATAAGCGCTGGTGGTCTTTGTCGTTTTTTAATTGTATATTATATCGATGCTATTTTTTTTATTTATAAACTTGTTGTTAATAAATTGAGTTGGAAAAGAATTTTATAACATTTGAAGAAATGTTAATATGCTAGCGACCTCGATAAAATATAATATTCTGTTAGTTGTCTTGATATTTAAATTTCAATTCTTCTTCTTATTGTAGTCAGTTTATTTTTGTATTAACTAAACGTCTTTGAATGTTATCAACATTTCTGGTACCTAAAACTGGTGTAATTTCATTAATTGGCGATTGACTAAAATATTTATTCCAAAGAGAATGAAATTTAGCTGGAAAGCTCTTCATACTTAAACAGTATGTAAAGCGAATAAACAATGTTCTATTATAATCTATTGAAAATTTTTCTTTTTCAGAAGTGTTGATAACTGTTTTTACGATATTTACAATAATTATTAAAATTCAAAGGTTGATCAATATTATATTTTGTTAATAAATTTAAAAACTGCTGTTCAATAATTTTATTTGAATGTTTATTTAATAAC